TCCGGTGAGTCCTGCACCCGTGGGAAGCTGGGCAGATGGCTGCCGCGCGGCCTTTGTTTGCGCACGTGCGGCAGCTGAAGGCTTGGTTTTTGTCCCGGAGGACCCGTGCAAGCGCTATCCCCAGCAGCCAGGGTCAGGGCTTTCAGCAGAAGAAAACCAAAGCCCAGGCGGGAAGTCTAGCAGACCCGTGCCTCCTAAGGATTGGGGGTGGGGGTCACGTTCTCTCCGCGGAGCCGCTTTTCCCAGAGTAGGCCTAAGACAACCTGGCCACTTCATGGGGTCCCTGATCTTGTTACCTATTCATGGGGTGCTTGCTGAGAGCCAAACAACTTGTGTTCCTTTCATGCACCCTGAATATTGAACAGTCTCATCAAGACACACAGCAGCAGGCATTAGAGCTCTGGGGCTATCCTGGGTTCCCTGTCATCTCTGGTAGGGGGACAAGCAGGTTAGGGAGACTTCCTCCCTTGAGTTTTATTCAGCCCGTTGAGTTGTAGTGGGCACCCGTTGTGGCCTGAGGATGGAGCCTGATCCCTCCTTTCTAACTTAAACATGGTGTTTCTCCTTTCTTTGGTACACTTTTGCAAGACAACCAGGGCCTGGGACCCTCCAAAAAGTAGAATCTGAGCCCGTGGTGGTGGTGGTGCCTGCCGTTTATCCCAGCACTCAGGAGGCAGAGGCCGGCCTGGTCTACAGAGTGAGCTACAGGACAGTCAGGACTACACAGAGAAACCTTGTCTCAAAAACAAAAACAAAACAAAACAAAGTAGCATTTGATCTTGAAGGAGACATTCTATGTCCCGGCAGTGGCTGTTATTCTTTTGTTTAAGCTGTCAGGAATCTAGGTGGGAAAGACCTGAAAATGTGGAGCATCTTCACCCCTGACCTCTTTTGCAGGAGGGCCTTCCTGGCCCCAGGAGCGGACCCTGGTTGCTGTGAAGCCAGATGGGGTGCAGCGAAGGCTAGTGGGGACTGTGATAGAACGCTTTGAGAGGCGGGGCTTCAAACTGGTGGGGATGAAGATGTTGCAGGTATCAATCTTTGGCGTGTGGTGTCCCTAGTCTAGCACTGGCAGTTGCAAGGGTTGGGAGGTAACCATTCTGGGAGCTAGCTTCCAGAGTTGTGTCAGAAAGGTGCCCCAAATTCAGGACACCAATTGGTGGCTTATTCTCCAAGGGTTCTTCTTACCCCTCCTTCTACACAGGCACCAGAGAGCATTCTTGCTGAGCACTACAGGGACCTACAGAGGAAGCCATTCTACCCAGCCCTTATCAGCTACATGAGCTCTGGGCCTGTGGTGGCCATGGTACAGCAGGGCAGGGGCAATGGACTGGGCGTGTGGGGTGTCCTCCCCAAGCAAAAGAAAGGGGTTGGATTGAGCCCATGGCACCTGGGGTCCCCTGACTTCTGTCCAACCTTTATATCTGTGCTGCAGGTCTGGGAAGGGCACAATGTGATCCGCATCTCAAGGACCATGATAGGACACACTGACTCAACCGAGGCAGCTCCTGGGACAATCAGGGGAGACTTCAGTATTCACATCAGCAGGTATGGAGACTCTGACACCCTTGTCTCTCAATGTAGGGTAAAGAAGGCTAGTTTAGGATGACAGCCTGCACTTAAGACAGATCCTTGAAACCAGGCATGGTGGTACATACCTTTAATCCCAACACTCAGGAGGCAGAGGCAGGTGGATCTCTGAGTGCAAGGCCAGCCTGGTCTACAGAGTGAGTTCCAGGACAGCCAGGGCTACACAGAGAAACCTTGTTTTTTTTTGGAGGGAGGGTTCGGGGGAAGACAGATCCTTGAGAACTAGGTGTCTTGCTGGGCTGAAAGTTCCTGATAGTGAGGTGTTTGCTATAAGATTTTACTTATTTATTTATTTGAGGTAAGTTGTCAGGTAGGCCAGGCTAGCTTTGAGCTTATTAAGTAGTTAACTCCTGATCTTTGGGCGTCTACCACCTGAGCTTACATGTCTGACTAAGCCCTTTCCCCTAGCTCTTTAGTATTTGATTTTGGTCAACAACCATGAGGGCTTGGCTCTGATGACTGGTAGGGAAGGCAGCTCTTAGAAGCTGATGTATAGACTGGCTTCTGAGCTTGCAAGAAACTGAGCCCAGCCTAGGTGCAAATTTCCAGCCCCTGTTACTGCCCAGACACTTTTCCTTACTCCCTTCCTTCATCCCCCCCCTCTCCCCCTGATAGGATCTCATGAACTTATAATCTTCTTGCCTCTACCTCCTAAGTACTGGGTTACAGACACGCACTGCCATGCCTGGTGTATGTGGTGCTGGAGATCAAATTAGGGCTTTGTGCATGCTGGGCAAGCACTCTACTAACTGTGCTACATCTCTAGCTCCCATCTTCCTTTGTGTGTGTGTGTGTGTGTGTGTGTGTGTGTGTGTGTGTGTGTGTGTGTGTGTTGATGTGCCTGCGGTGGTGTGTGTGTGTGTGTGTGTGTGTGTGTGTGTGTGTCTGTGCCTGCAGTACCTGTGTAAGCCAGAAGAGGGTGTTAGAAGCCCTGGAGCTGGAGTTACAGGTAGTTTTGACCCGCCTTATTTGGATGCTGGGAACCAAGCTCAAGCAGGTTCTTTGCAAGAGAATGTACTTTTAACTGCTTGCTGAACATCTCTCCAGTCCCACCTCCCTTCCTTTCTGAGGCTGGGTCTCCCTCTATAATCCAGGCTGGCCGAGAACTTGAAGCAATCCTTCCTCCCACCTCAGCTCTTCCAGTGCTGGTATTACAGGCTCGTAGCACCTTAACTGGCTCCAAAATTCCTTCTTCCCCCTCTTCTTCTTGTTTTTTTTTTTTTTT